TCAAAATAGAATTTGATATTAAATTTCTTTCTTCCCATCAGATATTAATTTATAACATATTTTTATGTTGTATTTGCAGGTATATATATTGTTTGTTCATACAAAATGACTAAAATAGACCATGGTCAAAAAGTGTGTAAGCGTTGATAAGAATATTCACAATTAAGACCACCCCGCAATTAAGACCACTTTGGTCCAGTCCCGATGGTGGTCTTAATTGAGGGTTTTTACTGTACATGTATAACCTTAGATAACCTAAATTTTAGACTAATAGAAAAATTATTATTTTTGCAAACAATTTAAACTGACAAAGTAATATTCCATGCCATAACTTCATAGAAGTTAATGCCTAAGGGCTTTATATACATATATGAATGTGGCAACAAATTTCAAAACAATCAATAAGAAAAGCAATGAAGTCTGGGTAAATGCTTGATTCAATTTTAACAATTTCCAGAATGATAAATTCAGAAGATGTCAATGCAATGTTAGAGTGATTGTAAAATAATATGAACAAAAAAATATTTAATACTGAGAAAATGTAAAAAAAAATGGAGTAAATATCATATCTAAAAGCATAAAAACTTATTTTTTGCAGAACTTTTTGTATGAATGTACAGAAATTATACAATAATTGTAACACATCTCTTTCTTTTTGCAGAATATTTTGCATTTAAAGCAAATTATTGAAATAATGGAAACTTTAATTCAATACATATAACAGCAATGAGGCCAGATGATGTTTAAAACAACACTAAATGTTACAAAAACCATGTGTGGTCTCAAAGCTTTAATGTGAAGAGAATATAATAAAATATAATTAAATATTTGAAGAATCTAACATACAGACAAAGAACTAATTGGACCCAATACATAGAAAAAATCCTACCAATATTTTCTTTTATTATAAAAATCTATAAAGAGCTTTGAAATGCCTTTGTTCCCTGATTGGCTAACAAGCAACTTTATGTAAAAAATAACAGGTCAATATCAGAGTATATTCACTGTTTTTTTCCCCCCTAAAAATAGATTTTCAGAGTATATTCACTGGTTTCTCTTCTCAAAATAGAGTTTCTGAAAATCCCCGAGAGACTCGAAACTATTACGTGACGTCAAGTTCGTTCTTATTCTTCTGAAAAAAATGTTGGGCGACTCGTAAATAAGAGTCAAATTAGTCTATTTTAGTTACCGTCTTTACATTTTTTTCAACATTACAATTGAACCTGCCAATGCGCTCATTTAAAAGACAGGGCCAAATTATGGAAAAAGTAGACAAGCTGAAATTTAAAATTTTCGATTTCTGTTGTATGCAATGACAGATTTGATAAGCCATATAAAAGATATTTATAAATTATATAATAAAACAGATATGAAATTTTAGCTGGTGAATATGTGATATGTACGGAAAAATTAATATTGACCGAGGCGATTGCTGAGTTCAATATTACTTTTTTCCGTACACATCACATCATATTCACCAGCTAAAATGTCCATATTTGTATAATATATACTCAGTATAGCCTTACCAGCCTGTTCTATACAAAGAGGTCAAAATAGGCCTTGAGTTTGTGAACATACATGACTTAGACATATTGTGTATTAAGAGTATTTCTGGGAAATTTGATTAAAAGCCCTAATATAAACCTGAAAAAAAATCTTTCTTATGTATATAATATCAACAACAAAAAACTTTTTAAATGTCTTTCTAAAATTATATAACAGATGATCTTTTAAAGAAAGTGACAATTTTGTGACAAAGAATAATTAATATCATAAGTAAACAAATTATATGAAAAGAGGCTGCCATCACTATAAATTTTAGACTACAATGAATTACCCTTACATTGAACACCTCTTTAAGTATGCAAATTAGATTTAAAGGGCTACACAGGCAAATTAATGACAAAAATATCAAAATTATCTTATGTACTCAAATTACATAACTAGAACTCCGCGAGTGGGATGTGTCGCCTTGTGAACAATATAGTTTAAGAGAAATGGCAAAGACAAAAATGAAATTTGAAAATTAACAAAGAGCAATAACTCTAAAAAATAAGAAATGCAGATCAGCAGTTTCTGTGCACTGCACTTCTTATCAATAAAATCTCTCATCCTATTAAGTTTCAAGTCTAAAGCTTTTATAATTTATGAGAAATGGCCTGGACAAACATAAAGTATGAAAATTAACAAAGGGCAATAACTCAAAAAATAAGAAATGCAGATCAGCAGTTTCTGTGCAATGCACTTCTTATCAATAAGATCTATCATCCTATAAAGTTTCAAGTCCATAGCTTTTATACTTTAGGAGAAATGGCCTGGACAAAAATAAAGTATGAAAATTAACAAAGGGCAATAACTCAAAAAATAAGACAACGACCCCGACGACGACACCGACGCCGACAAAAGTAACCCCTATATGTCGCCTTTTTCAAGGCGACACAAAAAATGACATTTGTAAAAGTCCAAGCATAAATTTCTGTAAAAAAAAAAAATGTATTTTGGGTTTGAAGTGTAAATATATCTATATATTGAACGAAATTTAGACGCAGAAAGAATCACGAAGTAGTTTTAAAACTAGTCATGTGACTTGAATAGACCCTGGAAATTAGAACAACAGATATTCTGGATATTGTATGATTGAAATAAACCTAAATCATTCGATATGCTCTTTAACATTTCCAGAGCTCAATGTGACAACTATTGTTAATTCTTTACGCCCTAACCTGACCCACATGGGTCAAGCTAGGAAACCACCATTTTATTCTTTATAAGAAGAAAAGTTTTGTTCCTGTGACTGCCTCGTGTATTCATTTTGAGGACATTTACAGATTAATGAATGAAAAATTCAAAACGAAGAAATGAAAATTTTGCCTGTGTCTCCCTTTAAAGATAATATATTATCAAAAGTTACAACATTTCAACAAAATATCTGACAATTTCATTCTAATAGGCAGTGATTATTTCTATAAGAAAAACAACAAAAAACTAATACATGTAATATATTTGCTACTTATATCAAAGTAGGTTGGGACTAGCTTTTCAAGAAAAAACTAAAATGTGCCTAAATTGCTCACCTGAATAAGTGAAAAAAGTTGCAAAGGTTCGAATCATATTCAAGAAATGATTTTGTAAACGCTCATTAAATAAGTAAAGGTACAAACCAATTATCTAAGTTATTACATCAAGGCCCTATAATTTTAGTGAAAAAATTACTTGAAAAATTCGTTATTTCCCCTTTTGTATAAGAGTTGCAGAGTATGGCTAATTTCAAACCTTGGTCAACTGCACTATGTGATATTGTAAAATAAAATATCAGGGCCTTGATATGTTTCTGACAAAAAAGGAACCACTTATACATGTACACAGTCAAGGAACTTGTCATTATGTGACTGCTTCCAAGGATCTTGAGGAGAAAAAGGTCACCCATATGACAGAGGAGTCTCTTAATACAGGTTCTCATAGAAAATTAAAATTTAAAATTTACCATCAAGCCTGTTCTATATATCAGTTGGTGACTTAACATATAATGATAACTGTATAACAGGATGAAGGGACTCCACACCTATAAATTGCAAATTACACATAGGGTACCTGTAAAATATATATAAAATAAGAACATGTATAATTGGAATCATTATGGTACAAATAAACTTGAATTTGATCATTCAAATCCTTAAAATAAAATATCATTCTTTTTTTAAACAACATATCCATATTAAGTCTGGTATCAAAACATTTTTCCGTATTATACCCATGCAGCCATCAATATAAGTTATAAAAAAAAATTCTGCTACCTAAAGAAATCTTCGTTTGGCACTACCCATAAATTTTTTATTTAAACACAAGTCTTAAATACCAGTTTACTCAGTTCATTTACCACCTTGGACCTCAATTTTGTTAACACACATCAAATTGTATCCCAACGCTACGGACACTCCAGAACGGCTACGTCAACATCTTGACACCTCATATATGCACATGTAGACAGAATCAGGTGTGTAGAGTTTGTTTGAACAGTCTACTGACTACTAGGATTATAATTGACTTAATTATTTTGTCTCTCTGGTGTTAAAACGGTATTATTTATCTGATTAACCGGACAATTAAAGGAGTCGAAAAGTCGTTTAAATCAGACTAAGCAATGCATTGGGGACCAGATATTAGGGTCGCTTTTCACATATGACAGGGAGTCGTATAATTCAGACCATTTATATAGGAAAATACGTTGGGAGGACTGAAACAAGGTCGGATAAGACAGGGAGTCGTTGAAATCAGGGGGTCGCTAAGGCAGTCTCGACTGTATATGAATTTTGCAAGGTCAACCTGATGATCATTTTTTATGAAGTTTCATCAGAATCTATCAAGCAATTTTATAAGATATGTTGTCTTATGAAAAAATGGACACCAACTGAAGAGGCACATAAAACAGACATCTGTGTTAACTTTTGGACCAATCTGTGTTGACAGAAACTTAAAGGTCAAAGCCTGTTCTGGAAAATAGTTATTGTCTAATAAAAATATCTAGATAAATAACAGATGAGATTTAAATACAAAACAATGACTAATTAGTTAATTATTAAGCACCTTAATATATATATTATCAGTAAAATAAAAGTACATGTGTATTAAATAAATTAATGAGAAAAATGAAAAAACAAACAATCGCATTAACAATTATCTCAAATAAACAACTGTTATAAAAAAACTTTTTCTAAAAATTACATTAATTAAAATAATCAAAATAATGTGGAATTACAATATATTAATTATATAGTTATACATTTGCAATTTCTATCACAGGGGTTAAACAAAACTAAACAGACCTGGGGTAGCAAACAACCCTTTTTTTTAAAAACCAAAAATTGCCATTGATTTAAAAGGGGAACTGTGACTTTGGCCCTTTTATACCTATCAAACAAAATACTGCACTGAAAACCACTTTTTAGAATGAAAACATTTTTTAACTTTTTTTAAAATTAATTTTAAATTCTGATCTTAAATTTTCATCCCGATTTCCCGCCAAAAATATAAATAACCACTTACAAAAATAGAAAATGGACCAGTCAATTAAAGAAACACAGGAGGTGAACGGTTAGTGAAAGATTCAACATTCTCCACACAGACATTGTAGCATTAATGAACAATTAGGTATATCTGACAATGACAACATATTGCACAAACAAAAAAGACAAATTATAGAACAAGAGGGCCATGATGGCCCTGAAGTCGCTTACCTGTATATAGGCCCCTGGAGCGGGGCCAGTTTAAACCCCAGGGCTTTTATTTGAACAAACTTTGTAGACACTCACTAGAAGATGCTTCGTGCTTAATATCTAAACTCTAGCTATTTGAGTTTTTTCAAAGAAGATTTTTTAAAGTTTTTGTATAACACATATAAGGAAAAGGAATGACCCCCGGAGCGGGGCCAATTTTAACCCCAGGGCTTTTATTTGAACAAACTTTGTAGACACTCACTAGAAGATGCTTCGTGCTTAATATCTAAACTCTAGCTATTTGAGTTTTTTCAAAGAAGATTTTTTAAAGTTTTTGTATAACACATATAAGGAAAAGGAATGACCCCCGGGGCGGGGCCAATTTTAACCCCAGGGCTTTTATTTGAACAAACTTGGTAGACAATCACTAGAAGATGTTTCATGCTTAGTATCTAAACTCTAGCTATTTGGTTTTTTTCAAAGAAGATTTTTTAAGTTTTTTCTATACACATATAAGGAAAATCAATGACCCCCGGGGCGGGGCCAATTTTGACCCCAGGGCTCTTATTTGAACAAACTTGGTAGACATCCATTAGAACATGTTTCATGCTAAATATCTTAGCTCTAGCTCTTTGGGTTCTTTAAAAGAAGATTTTTTAAGTTTTTACTATATGCATATAGGGAAAATCAATGACCCCCTGGGGCGGAGCCAATTTTGACCCCAGGGCTTTTATTTGATCAAACTTGGTAGACACCCATAAGAAGATGTTTCATGCTAAATATCTTAGCTCTAGCTCTTTGGATTCTTTAAAAGAAAATTTTTTAAGTTTTTACTATATGCATATAGGGAAAATCAATGACCCCCTGTGGCGGGGCCATTTTTGACCCTAGGGCTTTTATTTGAACAAACTTGGTAGACATCCATTAGAACATGTTTCATGCCAAATATCTAAGCTCTAGCTCTTTGGGTTTTTTAGAAGAAGATTTTTTAAGTTTTTACTATATGCATATAGGGAAAATCAATGACCCCCTGGGGCGGGGCCAATTTTGACCCCAAGGCTTTTATTTGATCAAACTTGGTAGACACCCATAAGAAGATGTTTCATGGTAAATATCTTAGCTCTACCTCTTTGGGTTCTTTAAAAGAAATTTTTTAAGTTTTTACTATATGCCTATAGGTAAAATCAAAGACCCCCTGAGCGGGGCCAATTTTGACCCCAGGGCTTTTATTTGAACAAACTTGGTAGACATCCATTAGAACATGTTTCATGTCAAATATCTAAGCTCTAGCTCTTTGGGTTTTTTAGAAGAAGATTTTTTAAGTTTTTACTATATGCATATAGGGAAAATCAATGACCCCCTGGGGCGGGGCCAATTTTGACCCCAGGGCTTTTATTTGAACAAACTTGGTAGACACCCATTAGAAGATGTTTCATGCTAAATATCTTAGCTCTAGCTCTTTGGATTCTTTAAAAGAAAATTTTTTAAGTTTTTACTATATGCATATAGGGAAAATCAATGACCCCCTGGGGCGGGGCCATTTTTGACCCTGGGGCTTTTATTTGAACAAACTTGGTAGACATCCATTAGAACATGTTTCATGCCAAATATCTAAGCTCTAGCTCTTTTGGTTTTTTAGAAGAAGATTTTTTAAAGTTTTTACTATATGCATATAGGGAAAATCAATGACCCCCTGGGGCTGGGCCAATTTTGACCCCAGGGCTTTTCTTTGAACAAACTTGGTAGACACTTGCTAGAAGATGTTTCATGCCAAATATCTAAGCTCTAGCTCTTTGGGTTATTTAGAAGAAGATGTTTAAAGTTTTTTCTTTTGGTTGCCATAGCAACCAGAGTTCTGCATGGAATTAAATTCTTTGAACAATTTTTAAAGGTGACCACCAAAGGAACGTTCCTGTGAAGTTTGGATGAAATAGACTTAGTGGTTTATGAGGAGATGTCATTTAAAGCAAAAATTTACGGACAGAAAACGGATGGACGGATGGATGCCGGACGAAAAGCGATCACAAAAGCTCACCCTGTCACTTTGTGACAGGTGAGCTAAAAATTAAACATAGATAGAACAGGACACCGTCCTAGGTTATTAAGAAATTCTCTGAGCTCAGTTTCAGATCTCTGGTATTTGATTGGTCAGAAACTGCTACAGAGTATACACTGACCAATGAAAATCCTGAGATTTAAGACGGAACTCGGCAAAAAAAAATTATAACCTCTAGACCAGGCTTTGAGGTTAAAAAACATAAAAAAATATGAAAATTTCTCACTGAGAATTTTTCATGCAGCACTGTGTATGGTGGATATGAAAAGTGGTGCAATAAATAGTTTTTATGAAATACAGAACATATCTCACTAAGAAATTCCTGAAGCAAAATAAGAAAAATGCTTTTAAATTTTACAAAAAAAAAATATATTTTTTGTTATTTTATGGGTAGTGAAAGTCTTCACTTTGAGTTATATAAATTATATTTCACTAATGAAATACAGTATCTCATAATTCATCATTGGCTCAAAATATTTTTTTTTATTATTATTTTTTTTTATTAAAACTTTTTTCTTTAAATCTATACACTTTCATATAAGTGTAAATCCTTTTAAGTGTATAATGAATCAAAAGCCTTCAATACAACAATATAAACATAATGAGACAGTGTATCCAATAACAACTAAAACATCTGATTATCTGCATAAAAATTCCAGCAACAAAAATTCAGTTTAGACGATAAAAAGCTTCTCATAACAAGCAACATATTTCCAAGTAATTTTACTGTGCTGATGATTTTATCCAATTAAATCATAAATGCAAAAACAAGCTCCTTAATGCCCCTATGACAAAAAAACCCACAAAACAATCCTTACAATCGGTTTTATCTACAAAAATAAACTTGCAAATTCCTACAAGTCTGAAATGAAATTTACAAGTCCAGAAGATCCAGGTTTAACGGTAATGAAAAAGACAAAAGGACATATTAAGTTCAGGGCTGTAACCAGAGCCGACTTTTTAGTAGTAGTTTTAAGGGAAATTTACTGCATTATATACATAAATAGAACGTTAATATTTGAAATTAAATATTGTCAAAACTGGTCCCAAAAAATACATAAAGAGAGCTACCTCAATGTGCCTCCACATAACTGTGGCGCTGAACTTCAAGAAATAATTTACAAAAACCTATTTAAAAAAGTTATCACTATTCATTGCTAATTCTTTTTCATGAAAAAATTTCGTTCCGGTGCATACCCGAAAGATGGTTAAGCACAGGCAGATCACTTTTCCAGTTGCTTATTAACAAAGCTCGGATAACATGCAAAGTAATCTTCAATGGTGATCTATAGACAGCAAAGCAGATATTGGATGGCCACTTCTGACTGAATGTAACAATATTCATTTAAAAAGAAAATTTAGGAAGACTACCCTTTGCTCAGAAGTTTCAAAAATTACATCTGTGTGTTTTCACAGTAAATAAATACAGACAGAGACCTTTGTAAAGGTGTATTGCAACAATAAGACTAGATTTGTTTCCACATAAGGTGACAAAGTCTCCGGTATGCTCCAAAACGAAATTCTTTCAATAATTTTTTTTTAAACAATTAAACGAGATTTACCTGAAAAGAACTGATATTTAATTAAAGTAAGCTTTGATTAAGTTTTTAAATTAATTATCATCATTATCATCTAAAAAACTGTAAAAATATGGCATATCATGAAAATCGTGTTCTGCAGTCACATGACATATGACCTGGCCTTTAAGGAGTGTCTGTCCATATGTTACAGCCTCGCCCCTGCCTTTACATAGACCAACTTCAACCATCCAGTCACAGAATGATGTACCACAAAACACTCTGTTATATGTTCTGAACTTGTAACTGAAAATAGATTAAAAATCATCAACATTTTATCATCAACACACTCAAATTATATTTAAAATAAGTGAATAAAAAGTTTTTTTACAGGTTTAATAGCCTAGTATGAATAGTATTCAGCAGTCAACAGCTACATGTAACAACCATTAAAACAGTCCATCAAAATACTACCCTGTCAGGGGCAAATCGTTGCTTACTTCATATCATGCCCACTTACTTCCACATCATGCCCACTTATTGTGTATCATGAACACTTCATATCACATCCACTTCATATCACTAACAATTACTTCATACTACAAACACTTACTTCATATCATGAACAATTACTTCATATCATGAACACTTTCTTCATATCACACCCACTTACTTCATATCACCTAACAATTACTTCATACCACAAACACTTACTTCATATCATGAACCATTACTTCATATCATGAACACTTTCTTCAAATCACACCCACTTACTTCATATCACTAACAATTACTTCATACCACAAACATTTACTTCATATCATGCACAATTACTTCATATGATGAACACTTACTACATACCAAAATCAATTACTTCATATCAAGAACACTTATCATAAAAACTTATGTCATATCATGAACACTTACTTCATATCTCAAACACTTACTTCATATCAAGAACACTAACTTAATATGACAAACACTTATTTCATATCAAGAACACTTACTTCATATCACGGACAATATCCTGTTGACAATTCTCACGATGATATTTAACAAACTGATCACAGAGATGTTTCTCCTCCTCTGTCAATTCTGTCTTGGACGGAATGTGAACAATTTCAGCCCCATACATCCATTTACGCCACCTAAAATTAATTTTCAAAGCATAAATACACATAGATATGCTATGTTTCTATATCATTTATATATTTATATCTATTTTTTTTTTCTGACTCAATTTTTTTGTTTCCATATAAGTATTTATTCAATCAGATCTTTTACTGTTATCAAAAGTAAAGAAGTTGTTTTTTATTTTGGAACTCTCCTTGCATTTTATTTTATCAAATCCTTCATTTTTTAACCTCTATAAAATCACTTCTTATTTGCTCCTTCATTTGCTAAAATTTCTTTCTAGATTTTCTGCTCACAAAATAATATTGACATACAGTCGAACCTTTGTTAAAGACCACCTCTGAATAAAGATCACCATGTGTATAAAGGTCACTCAGAGACAAACTTTTATTAGATAATATAGAACAAGGTAACCTCTAAATAAAAACCACTTGTCTTTAAAGGCCATGTTTGGCCTCTCCCGTGGATGGCCTTAGTTAACAGGCTTGACTGTAATAAACAATATTGTCATCATTTATCTTATATAGATATTTGCTTAAGGTCTTAAAGATTATGCAAAAGAAAACAACAGCTGTCTAGAATGATGTCAACAACATTGTCATAAGACCATATTGATAAATGTTAAAGCAATAAAGGGTGTGGTTTCAACTTTTAAGGTGGGAGGAGTCAAGGAAAAAGGGGGAGGGGTTTTAGAATTTATGAAGCATATTAAAGGATAGAATACCATATGACAATCATTATTGCAACATTTTTTTGCACACAAAAAAAACAACAACACAATATTTTTAACATACCGATCTAGAAAACACAAAATAAACATTAATGATATTAAAAAAATATATATAACAATAACAATAAAAATAAAATAATTTGGGACAACAACATTTTCTTCACATGCATTCCGAGTATAACACTGCAATGGACAATGATTACCTATAAAACAGATTTTTCACAGCCTTCCATTGTTTGCTGCATGTAAGATATAAAGTAAATTATATCTATCACAATGTATTATAGTCCAAAATTTCAGCATAAAATTATTTTAATGGCAAATATACATACATACTTTACATAAACATGATACAGTCTATACAACTGACCCCAAGTGATTCTATTTTCTTTTAAATATGTGCAAATTAAATCTTGTCACTAAGGCTTCCTATCCGTTCTACTTAACAACATTTACAACGATGACGATTATGACAACGCAGCGATTATAAATTCATAATATCTCAATATTTTTTTCTTCAAAACAGACAAGCTAACAAGCAGTTTCTTTTCATACAAAATTAAAGGACAGACAGACACAAACCATTTGACATGACAAATATTGGACATAACAGACCAACAAAACAGACAGACAGTCAGACAAAACAATTAATGATCTTGATAACCATTGATGACTCATAGCTGATGAGTGATGATTTTAAACAATCCCCAATAATTTCTGAACACTATTCCCTCTCTTTGACAAACAACAAGGATTTTCACATCACATTTCCTTATTCCAAAGCATTTAAAATTGTATGACCCTTTGACCTTTTCTTACCTTTTCAACATTCTAAATTCAGGCCTACATTTGCATCTATAAATAAATTTTCCCAACTTGATTTACTACCTAGTAGCAAATATGGTGGTTATGTAATATATATCTTAAAGTCTAGACATATGTTTTTTTCCAAACAAAATATTTATGTAAAGTTTAAAAGTTACATTATTATTTACTGTTTTTGATAATAACATTTGGCTTGCAGCAACTAAATATAAATATACTTATACAACAAGTGCTGACCAAGATAAGCCAGTACATCCATGCCATCTGATCATAGACTGCATGGTTTGCTTTTCAGTCAGTACATATATATATATATTTTAAATTTTCCCTAAGCCAATAAATGGTTTTGTCCAGATTGAAAGATGGACAAGTCCATTTCAGATATTTTGTGTTACAAAGTTTAAGCAAGAAATGTGTAGGACACTTAGTATATAAATAAAAGCTTATTTACTGAACCAATAAATCACACAATTTTATCCTGGTAACCTATTTTCCATGATTTCTGGATTCTAAATATGTTTCTCACTTTTCCAATCTTTATAAACTTTTAAAAAAAAGTTATATTTGTTTACTAGTTGGGTTTATTTTCAGTGACCATTCAGTTTAACTTCTGGTACTAAAGTAACTTTTTGTGGTACATTAAGTTCACTATCTTGGACTAACATGAATTTGAAGGACAATTCTGTTAAATATCTGGGACTCGAACGATTTCGAGGATTATTCAGTTTAATTTCTGGGACTCGGGCAATTTCGAGGACTATTTAGTTTAATTTCTGGGACTTAAAATTTTTCATTTTTCATTTTCAGTGGACATTATCAAAGTTTAATATCTGGAACTTGATTTGTCTACAGTTAAACACCCAGTTTAAAATCTAGGACAAGAATAATTTACAATATCATTCAGTTTAATATCTGGGTCTGAATTTCAATAATTTCTAGGACTGTGGTCATGGTCAGGAACCAGTCAAAGTTGGGAATCATACTGTCCAAAAACTAGGACTGGGATCAGTTTTAACCTTCCCATACTAAAATCTTAAATGGACTTGTCCATCTTTTAATATGGATGAAGCCATTTATCATTTTAAGGGGAAATTTTCAAAATATATACTGGCTGCATAGTGAACAGTGCAGACCATGATTAGATGGCACAGATGCATGTTGGTCTGCACTAATGTCATGGGATTAAAGAATTGTTAACTTCATCTGTGACGGTGTGAAATTTCAAAACATTATATACTGACTGAATAGTGCATTGTATATTTTAAGGGGAAATTTCAAAATATCTATTGACTTAATAGCAAACAGTGCAGACCATGATCAGATGGCACAGATATGCTGAGTTATCATGGTCTGCACTGGTTGCATGGGTAGATTTTGAAGCTGACAGCTGTCTAAAAATTAAAGGATTGTTTAATTCATTTTCAATGGAAAAAATGTTATAAGGGACTGTATAGGTAATATCTTAAGATTCTAAGCATTTTGGTAAAATAATGATAACAAAGTAAAATAAACAAAACATTATCTGTAATACAGAAAGTTACAAGCAATTATCATAGTATTGCAAGCAATCCATAAGTCCCCTACCGGTTAGAACCCCATCAACATTCTGAAGGGCCATTGGCCATTCACTAATGTTTCAATTTTTCTCTATTTTAAGTAAACTTGTTGGAAAAGTTCTTTAAAAGTGATCACAGCAAACAGTTTTTATGAACAGACGGACAGACGGACTGAAGGACACTCTAAAGTTAATATTTGAAACATCCCTGTTACCAAAATATAACATTTTAAAAGCAAAATTCTTAAAGAGGAGATAACTCTTGAATTAAAGATGCAAATTCATAAAAAAAGTTCAGCTCTTTTTGACTAATCACAAATATTGTTATATTTGCCATGTTTTAAGCCTATTTGTTGCCAAGGCAACTGATATTTTTTCAAAATAGGAAGAACAGATAAGACATGCATAATCTCAAGACTGCTATCTACCCATATGTCAAGTTTCATAAAAATATTTCCAGTACTTTTTGAGTTATCACTGGATTCAGTTTATGTGTAAAATTTGCCATATTTTCAGTCTATGTGTTGCCATAGCAACCAGAATTCTCAACATAGGAAGAAAAGAAAAAGACGTGCATAATCTCAAGACTGCCATCTACCCATATGTAAAGTTTCATAAAAATATTTCCAGTACTTTTTGCTTTATCACTGGATCCAGTTTATGTGTAAAATTTGCCATATTTTCAGCCTATTTGTTGCCATAGCAACCAGAATTTTCAACAGAGGAAGAAAAGAAAAAGACGTGCATAATCCCAAGACTGCCATCTACCCATATGTCAAGTTTCATAAAAATATTTCCAGTACTTTTTGCGTTATCACTGGATCCAGTTTATGTGTAAAATTTGCCATATTTTCAGCCTATTTGTTGCCATAGCAACCAGAATTTTCAACATAGGAAGAAAAGAAAAAGACGTGCATAATCTCTATACTGCCATCTATCCATATACCAAGTTTCATAAAAATATTTTCAGTACTTTTCAAGTTATCGCGGGATCCAGTTTTGTGGACGGACGGACTGACGGACTGACAGACAGACGGACAGACGGACGGACAGACGGACGGAGGGTAAACCTAAAGTCCCCTCCGGTTAACCGGTAGGGGACTAATAACTTATTCCATTATATACAAAAATTAAGTTTAGTTGTTAAAATTGGCACTCTTTGCTTGTGTAAAAAAAATAAAGGCAGTTATGTAAGATACAAATCATTTATCTTTACTGCCACTGGCACTTTGACAAAGTTAAAGTCATTGCCTAACTTTAAGGGAAATGTAAAGAAAATGCAGCCACTGACTTAGACTTTCACTTGAAACCTCACCAAGAGCTAGAGGTTCATATATAATATATCAACCCACTTAATACATGTATATAAAATTTCTGAGTCAATTAAGAAAGGTGCTAGGAGAAATTTGTTAGAAAATAAAACTGAAGGATGAAAGAACTGACTGCCCCCCCCCCCCCCCCGCCCAAAAAAAAAGATTCAGAAGCATATAAAAGAACATACAATAGTATATGTTACTGTTAGTTTACATTTTTATTCCTACCATCCAATGAAGTATTAAAAAATCTACACATACCTTCTTATACATGGTAGAATCATCAGACGTGTATCAAACCCAAATATTGCAAATACAACCAACCCCTGTCAAATAAGAACAACAACAGAACACTTTAAAAACTAAACAATATAAAACTTTAATATTCCTACACAAGAATTTTACCAAAATCATAACTAAAACGAATAAGTTCAAGAGATGGCATGGTTTTATTGCAATTCAATGTGTCACCAAATGTTACATTATGATATTAGAGCATATTGTCTGTGTGTTTTTTGTTTGTTGTTGTTGTATTTAATTCCCGGGCTTATGACTTATGTACAGTCATGTAAAGACTCAATCAAACCAAGTCTGCAATTTTCATGTAATTTTGCTTTTTTTAATGCTTCACAGGGCTCACTTTTATTTTTTTAAGCACAGAGACTCAAGATGGCCACCAATATGGCTGCCAAAAACAACAGAAAAACTATATATTGTTTTGGTTTCTTTACTTTTAACTTTAAAAATTATGTACCATTTAATTCATATGGCACAATATCAGACAAAATATGTCTTAAATATGTTTAACTTATTGTCAGAAGAAAAATACCCATAGTGATGTCCAAATCTCCAACTCTAGGTAACAAAGTCTATAAAAATAAACACTTGACCTTACTGAGCCACATAACAGCCGTCCGCTTAGCTCAATAGGTAGAGCAATGGACTGTGAATCAGGTGACCCCGGTTCGACTCATGGGTCACTTTTGTTGTGACTGATCATCTGCTCTGGTATGTACTGAAGTTTCAGTTTCTTGTGAAAGTGAAGGCAACTAGTACTGGTTAACTGCTTGACAGTCTGCCCAGGAACAATGTGGTGGCTGAACTGTGCTCTGGTAAATTCAATGTTGCTTACTTCCATGTTCAGGAGTGAAAACTACCAGCACCACCACTGGGCCACATAAATAACATCAGGCATTATAGACTCAACATACCTGGCCATAGTTTAGAAAACTATCTAGAAACTCTAGTTCCACATATATTCCTGACTTGCTATTGTTAAATAATCTCCAGAGACAGATAAATAACCCCTGAAAAATATATATATAAATTTACAAAAATATATACATGTATAACAAATAGACATTGAAACTGAATTTAAGCTGCAGGCCTCAAGATAAGCCAATTTTATTTTCAAGAAAATCAATGTTGAGAAAAATGTAATGAATGACATATTTTGCAGTATTTATCACCATATTTCTACTGCTCAACTAACGCAGTAAGGATAATTTTGCATATTTTGACCTTTATTTGATCTTTTACGTAATAGAAAAGTGTTGTTTGCAAAGTGTTTGTTTGTTTGTTTTTTTGGATTTACGTCACATCGACACAGTATAGGTCATATCGCAACGTTCCAGCTTTACTGGTGGAGGAAGACCTCAGGTGCCTTTCCGTGCATTATTTCAGGCACGAACGGGCACCTGAGTAGAACCACCGACGTTCCGTAAGCTAGCTGGATAGCTTCCTCACATGAAAGAATCCAAAGTCCCTGTCGGGATTCGAACCCACAGTGGTGAGGGGCAAGTGGTTTGAAGTCAACGACCGTAACCACTCAGCCACGGACGCCCCACTTGTTTGCAAAATGTTAATTACTTTATTTGTTCACACGACAATAATGACACTTTTAAATACACTTCCAAAATGTTCATGAAAATGAACATGAATCTGAAGGCATGCTGCTTTAAGCACAAGAATACATAATTATAGGATGAGGTACTCCAAAGTATTTTGATTCTTAAACATTGTACACAAATCTCCAATTAATTTCTTAAGAAAATGTGTTGAAAGATATTTGCATTGCTATTAATCAGTTCAGTTAAAATATAGTGCAACCCCTGCAAAGAAGTGTAATCTTTATGGATGTACATGCTGGCCTGGGTCTATACTGCAGGGACTACCTTGGACTGAAAATTTAGGGAGAAGTGACTTCTCCCTTCAGGAAAAATAGGGAGAAGTTTTGAAATTTAGGGAGAAGTGATCATCAAATCATTTCAAGTTATATCATTGGATTTTTTTTCTAATTACAGTTAAACTTCGTTCGCTCGAACTCGGATCGCTCGAATACCTCCCTTCGCTCGAACTCATCGCCCAGTCCCGGCAAAATTCCTATATAATATATATTGTTCTACATCGGATCGCTCGAACACCGATCGCTTGAACTCTCGAACCTGATCTCTGGTCCTTTCGGCAGAAATATAGTGAAAATTACACCTTTTCGGTCGAACACAAAAAGACAAGTCGGTATGTCCGAAATAAATGACAGTCGGCGACACATGTTTTTAACACCTCGTGATCGTGACAAAGGTGCTACAAAATAAGAGGTGTTGTAATCGATTTGTATGTTATGATAATATTGTTGATTTGCCGTTGATGGTAAAGATAAAAAGAAAACAACTTGTGAAATAAGTGAAATAGGCATGCCAATAAGGAATGACGTTTACCCATGGTAAACAACCGTGGTTCATGTATAGTGAATCGTAACAGTGTTATCTATTTATAGAATGATACTTGTATGTGTGTTTATTAGTAAATGACTATAAATAGATGCTGCTGTAAATGTTTTTAATAAATATTTCATTCATTTATTTTTTTTAATTGAATTCATCCCATTATAAACATATAAATATATTTTGAACATTCTTCAACAAGTTTGGTGTGATTGCCCAATCGAACTCAACCAATTACTATATTCATGAATATTGATTAACACAGCGTACCGTTGATACTATAAAACACTAGGATAATAATTCTGAATATGAAACATGTGAAATATTCGACGAACAGATGTACTAACAAACAATTATGTTGACGCACTTATCATTCGACCGATGTAAGCTAGGAAACCCTTTAGGCATTTGATCAATGTAATAATAGTTCAACCTCGGTTGGCTCGAACTACTGATCTCTCGAACAAATTTTCACAGGCCCTCCGAGTTCGAGCGAACGAAGTTCGACTGTATTTCACAAAATATACATGTACACCTTTATATGTACATGCATATAACATATACATGTATATGGCATGGAAAATAAACAAATGTGTATTGATGATATTTAATGAAGTACTAGTTGCATTTGATTTACACCAACACAACATTTTTCTATAATTTTTTTTTAGGTTCAACAGTTTCTGACTCTAACTTTTAAATGCAATTTATTAATTAAAATGAAAAGTTCTTTAATTCATAATAATTATCCAAATTCTATCAATTTACATCAGTTTTAATGATGAATATTACTATCTTAAATGTAATGGTGATAACAAACGTATATGGGATATTGTAAATCAAACAGGACATATAGGGGAAATAGTAAATCAAACAGGACATATAGGAGAACTAGTAAATCAAACAGAACGTTTAGGGAATATTGTGAAACAAACAAAACGTACATGGGATATTGTAAATAAGACACAAATATACGTATGAGGTAACTTAATTATCAATTAGCTTGCTTTTTATCATCTGCTGCATCCATATCAGGGTCTTTCACAGCTTAAATTTACTGTATAATCAATGCGCTATTTTTAGCGATGTGGATTTCCAAGTGTGAATTCCAAATGTTGCTATGGCCACGCTTCAGCGCGTGTGCTAATTACGTCAGATTACACAATTAAATCTGCCTCCAGGCAGTATTATCGAGTGGAGAAATATACATGTCAGACATTTCATAGAGATTTTAGGGCGACTAGAATTTCGCTTTTCAGATCATATAGGGCGAAGTGAAAATATTTACGGCGAAGTTTTCGCCTGACTTCGCCCTGAACGCAGTCCCTGATACTGGTGCACATATCTATATGTCATTATCATGTCTGCCATTAAAGAGGTCATAAGTTTTTATTTTCTTGTTGGAAAAACATTTCTGTGCTGTTTAATACTAAGTATTTCAATAATTTTATCCTGGAAATATGCATCATATCACTGTTAACAGCATCCCGAGAGCTTTTTATAGCACATCAGTGATGTTTGTTTCTAAAAATTGAATATCAGGAAAGGAATCATCCGCTTTACTAATTTCCATATAGAGCGCGGACCAGTAGATAGCAGGTAACGAGGGGTTTCCTTATTGTTTATGTATTTTATTGGCGGCAAATTTCATTTTCAGCCTTAATCTCTTTTCACTTGACAACTATATGAAAATATTTATCTAAAAATAACTTATTCAACCTTTAGAAAAGCTCAAGATCACTGTAAAATGGGGTTAAGTTAAATAGCTCACCATAAACATTGAAACTTGTAGAAACAATAGTAGAATGAGGAATTTCCCAGTCTGATACTCATCTGTTTCCTTGCGTTGTCTTACTTTCACCTCAACCTCTCCTGTTTCACCAACCTAATGTTTCCAAATATAATGTTTAAAATATTTATGCTTCCAAAATGTCACATAAATAGTTTTAGCTTTGTTAGCTTAAACTTGCTTGTGGTGAAAACTGTTATGTTTTTTGGTTATTGTCTTACAAGTCAACAGTTTCAAAACAAATCAACATACTTGTAGCTTAGGTTTGTTGGTAGGAAAACCCATTAAGTCGCTTGTTAAAAATTCAATTGGGGCAGAGGTAGCTTAAAGATGACTTTTTAATGAAAAAATAAGAGCCCAAGTAAAACCATCAAGACAATGATCATTCTAACTAGGAAAGGGCTTAATCAAATATATAGTCAGTGTAACACCAATTTCCTGGTGAATCGACAGAAATGATCCTAAAACTTATCTGCTTAGTGCAGTAAAAGGCTAACACCTATTCAATTTCAAGATGAGTTAGCCTTTTATTGCACTAAAGTAATGAAATGAGAAAGATATACAAGTAGGTAACAGAAGGTTGGTAGTTCTATTTTGGGTGCTTGCCAAAACACAGAATAAAGCAATAACTGAAGGCCCTTTTACACCTAACTGAACTGAAATTTTGTTCTGTGGCTGTGTGATTCAAAAACAACTACATATGAAGATAATTGCAAAAGCACTAAATAACCATCACTCCAGCTTAAACGCTACCAATATTTTAAGAGACTAATGAAAGATCAACAAAATAAAACAAACCTGTATATTTCTACTTGAAGCATTATAACATCGTAAAAGTCCTGCACATTGCCTTCTCTGTTGATAACTACACGTTCCGTTACTACACTCGTATGACTGTATGGTATCACAGTACGCATCATCACTAGTTGAAGATGACGATGAACTACTTTCCGATTTTGGTGTGTCTTTAGTAGCGGTCACTTCCTTGGCGTTACGATTACCACCATTTCTTTTGGGCCGATTTGGTTGCATGTTTTCAGGAAACGGAATGATATCTTCAATATTTGTAGAAGTCTGACGAACTGAAATAATAATTCTTGATTTTTTGTTACAAAGAAATACAAAGTATTAGCAAAGATAAATATCTGTATCATCATACAGTTTGAGTTTTAATGTAAAACTAACTGACCAGTAATTGCAAATTTCTCTACAAGTGACTGACTACTAATTCCAATATGATATTTGCAATCAATTATGTTAATGTAAATAACAGTAATATAAAATCAATGACATGGATGTATCATTTTGATTCTAACAAGACATCATTGAATAAATGCTGCCGTACCTGATATCAAGCTTAAGTTTGCCTGATTTGTCTCCGTACTTATTTTCAGCGTGCCACATTTTAAAAACTTATGTCACATGTCTTATGGTTATGTCACATGACTAAATATAGAATGTCAACAGTGATTTTATTGCATAATAACACACACTTTCGGTGCTTTTATGTTAAATAGGTAAAAATGCTGGTCATGTTAGAATGTAATAAACAATACCTGTATGTTTGTATAAATTGACCTCACAATCCTCTGTGCAAGCAGCACACGACATTGATTTGTATCTCCTATTATCACTATTCACATCTTCATCAGGTAGAAGCTTGGTTCTACTACTACTCTGTGTGTGCTGAGGGCTTGGAATTTCCTCATCTTCTAAATATAGAACATAATGATAATTCAGTGAAAACAAGTCACTAATTTGCATGCAAAATGTAAATATTTTACCTGCCCCTCATTAAAAATTCAAAACAATCTAATTTAGTTTGTTTTTTGTACTACATTAAACAAATGAACATCAGTACCTGGCATGATCTTCATATAACAACTGTTACTGACATGCAAAGATAATCAAAATATTATATTCACATAATTGTTCACATTTACACACAGTTTCAGAAAACTAGCTTAAAGTTACATTTAATGAATTTCATAAACAAGAGGGCCATGATGGCCCTGGATCGCTCACCTGACACAACCGCATCCAAGCAATGTCTTAAACAAGCATCATGGCCAAGTTTGATGACAACTGAGTCAAACATGTGACCTCTAGTGTGTTATAAAGATTTTTCCATATTTGGGCAATGTGACCTAATTTTTGACCGGCCACGACCCGTATTCAATCTTGACCTAGAAATCATCAAAACAACCTTCCTGACCAATTTCCAGGAAATTTGGATCAAAACTGCAGCCACTAGAGTGTTAAAAAGATTTTTCTATTTTTAGCTCCTGTGACCTAGTTTTTGACCGGACATGACCAATCTTAGCACTTGACCCAGAAATCATCAAAACAACCTACCTGACAAATTTCCAGAATATTTGAATCAAAACTGCAGCCACTAGAGTGTAAACAAGCTTTTTGTATTTTTAGCTCCTGTGACCTAGTTTTTGACCTAAGATGACCCATCTTCGAACTTGACCCAGAAATCATCAAAACAACTTTCCTGACAAATTTCCAGAATATTTGACTCAATACTGCAGCCACTAGAGTGTTTACAAGCTTTTTCTATTTTTAACTCCTGTGACCTAGTTTTTGTCCTGAGATGACCCATCTTCGAGCTTGACCTAGAAATCATCAAAACAACCTTCCTGACAAATTTCCAGAATGTTTGGATGAAAACTGCAGCCACTAGAGTGTTAACAAGCTTTTTCTATTTTTAGCTCCTGTGACCTAGTTTTTGACCGGAGATGACCCATCTTCGAACTTGACCTAGAAATCATCAAAACAACTTTCCTGACAAATTTCCAGAATATTTGGATGAAAACTGCAGCCACTAGAGTGTTAACAAGCTTTTTCTATTTTTAGCTCCTGTGACCTAGTTTTTGACCAGAGATGACCCGTCTTCGGACTTGTCATAGATATCATCAAAACAACCTTCCGGACAAATTTCCAGAATATTTGGATGAAAACTGCAGCCACTACAGTGTTTACAAGCTTTTTCTATTTTTAGCTCCTGTGACCTAGTTTTTGACCCAAGATGACCCATCTTCGAACTTGACCTAGATATCATTAAAACAACCTTCCTGACAAATTTCCAGAATATTTGGATAAAAGCTGCAGCCACTAGAGTGTTTACAAGCTTTTTCTATTTTTAGCTCCTGTGACCTAGTTTTTGACCTGAGATGACCCATCTTCGAACTTGACCTAGAAATCATCAAAACAACCTTCCTGACAAATTTCCAGAATGTTTGGATGAAAACTGCAGCCACTAGAGTGTTAACAAGCTTTTTCTATTTTTAGCTCCTGTGACCTAGTTTTTGACCGGAGATGACCCATCTTCGAACTTGACCTAGAAATCATCAAAACAACTTTCCTGACAAATTTCCAGAATATTTGGATGAAAACTGCAGCCACTAGAGTGTTAACAAGCTTTTTCTATTTTTAGCTCCTGTGACCTAGTTTTTGACCGGAGATGACCCATCTTCGAACTTGACCTAGAAATCATCAAAACAACTTTCCTGACAAATTTCCAGAATATTTGGACAAAAACTGCAGTGACTAGAGTGTTAACAAGCTTTTTCTATTTTTAGCTCCTGTGACCTAGTTTTTGACCTGAGATGACCCATCTTCGAACTTGACCTAGATATCATCAAAACAACCTTCCTGACAAATTTCCAGAATATTTGGATGAAAACTGCAGCCACTAGAGTGTTAACAAGCTTTTTCTATTTTTAGCTCCTGTGACCTAGTTTTTGACCCAAGATGACCCATCTTCGAGCTTGACCTAGATATCATTAAAACAACCTTCCTGACAAATTTCCAGAATATTTGGATGAAAACTGCAGCCTCTAAAGTGTTAACAAGCTTTTTCTATTTTTAGCTCCTGTGACCTAGTTTTTGACCCGAGATAACCCATCTTCGAACTTGATCTGTATTTCATTGAGACAAACATTCTGACAAACTTTGATGATGATCCAATTAAAACTGTGACTGCAAGACTGTTAACAACCCAATTGTTAGAGTGTTAACAAGCTTTTTCTATTTTTAGCTCCTGTGACCTAGTTTTTGACCGGGGATGACCCATCTTCGAACTTGACCTAGATATCATCAAAACAACCTTCCTGACAAATTTCCAGAATATTTGGATGAAAACTGCAGCCTCTAGAGTGTTAACAAGCTTTTTCTATTTTTAGCTCCTGTGACCTAGTTTTTGACCCGAGATAACCCATCTTCGAACTCGATCTGTATTTCATTGAGACAATCATTCTGACAAAGTTTGATGATGATCCAATCAAAACTGTGACTGCTAGACTGTTAACAACCCAATTGTTGACGACGAACGACGCACGACGCCGGACATAGCCCCATCACTTTACCTCACCATGACCACTTTGTGGTCAGGAGAGCTAAAAACTAAATAGCGACATTTCATTATTAAATTGGGTTTTATATCGACTCCAGGTCTTATTTTGGTGTCAAAACAACCAAAATGAGTTTTATTAGCATAAAAATAGGTAACCTCATTTTGGCGAAATGGGAAGTACAGTTTCTGTTTGCATGAGAAACTCCGCCTTCGGATCATCCGTACATCAATATTAAATCAACAAACATGACTATAAGTGGCAGTCCTAATTTAACGGTATATTTCCGCATTGTAACGGATGTTTTCATACAAATTTAATCTTTTTACGAGATGATTACTTTTACTGAACCCCAGGTTTAGTGCACCGTGAAGCTTAAACGGTTAAAGTGTGTTTGCACAAGAAAATATTACATTTGCTGTGTTCCGGATAGCAACTATAAAACTGTGACGTAGCGCATACACAAGCTCATTATAGTCTTCATTTGCATGTTAAGATTCGTATACGAACTTTAGTGTTACCGTGGGGTTTCCCGTTTAAGATCCTAATTTATGAACAATATTTGATGAGATTTACAACAAAACTTTTAAACAGGCTAATGAAACTGTAGAATGTTTGATTTTTAGGCAGACGGAAAAATATTTTTACATATTTATTTAATGTAACTTTAAATAGTATATTAAGTTAAGATTTAACTCACTAGTTTTGGAGCAGTACCTCTAGAAGCTTGCAGAAATCACGATCACAAATTAGGAAAATATCACTTTTTACACTTTTTACACTGCTTCGAAAAAAAGTTTAAGTTTAACCAAAAAGCATTTTGACAAGCACTTTAGACTGATTAAAAATTTCTGTTACAACTGTGAAAAAGTTACCTTGACCCTTACAATGACCTACTCCTTATTGACCTACTTCTAATTGTTCTTATAACATATTGCTTACCTGGTAAAAGTCTATCTGTAACTGACTCCTCGTCACCTTGACCTCTATGTCTTGACCTTTTGACCTTTGACCTGACCTTGATGTCATGTTTAGCCTTATGCTGGCGAGAATTTCTCTGTTGTAGCACGAGGAATGTGATATTGATAACTGAGCAAACACTCAGTAAAACCACAGATAGTACAGCCTGTAATAAAATGTTAAATATATACAGTTTATAACTCTATGCCAAACCTCTGATACAGAGCATAAAATTTATCTCAAATATAGTCTTTATCATTTCAAAATTGTTTATACATTAGAATATTTTCATGACACACACACACACATTCTTTATAATTTTTTTCACTGCTCAAATATCTCTTCATATCTTTACCACATGCATTCATGCTCAAATGTCCAATTTTTATCACCAACAGTTCTGCCCGACTTTTCATCCATCCACATTTTTGACTAACAATGAATGCTCTGCTAATAATAATAATAAATGACTTATTTAAAGAGGCAATACAGGTAGGCAAGACCAGTCTTTCCTATGAGCCTCTATAATGAAATGCACAAATGTTATTGAATTCCTTTTACTGTTTGTGAACAAAATCAAGATTTTATGTAGGGTTTACAGCATTTAATTATCAATTTATTTGGACATACCTGATCTACCCCATAGTGAAATGATGGATCAATCTCATCATGCATGTGATGTTTCCCTAGCAACAACAACATTCCCGTTGTAAACACTGGTAGGCTATAAATAGAATATGCAAATTATGTAACATTATTCATTTGCATTGCATACAGAGTATTTTTAACTATACAATGATAATTTAATAATATAACAAAACATTGATAAACAAAATTCTTCATATTTGTTGAAGTAAGAAGAAAATAAAAAGGAAGTCCTGACACTTTCCCCCTATATATTCTCATGAAAAACCTATATACTGCCATAATTTTTCATGAAATGAGCTTTCCAATGTTTCTATGCATTGTTCCTTACAAAGTAATTCATATACATTTTACAATAGGTAAAAGAATTGTGTGACTTGAAAACTATGATTTCCGGGATCATTTTTTTACACCTTTATGGCTGCCTACACAGCTTTAAATATGCATAAATCATACAAAAATAAGTGCAACAAACTAAAATACGAAAAGTATTATTACGTAATAAAACATGTGCACAAAATAGATATATACAACATGATATAACATGGATAACATGAACATGCAGTTAACTAATATTGAATCAATTAAGATACGACCCATTACAAATAATTGTTTGTTTTGTTTGGATTTACGGAATACCAACACAACTTACATCATATGGCAACACCAAGGGTCAAAACCATTTCACATACTGGAGCTAGGAAATGCATAGACTCCAGTAATTTGAACCCATATAGTCCCACTTACAATCACACAGGGATTAACGGAGGCTGCAATTCTGATGCCACAACCCTTAAAGGCAACCCCTCAGCCACAAGGGGACCATTACAAACGTAAGTAATTCTAAATTTTATGCATATTGTACTTACCCAAGACCAAACAGGTAAAACCAGATTTTGAACCGCAGTACAAAGCAGAGACTTCTGCAATGAAGCAGGTACAAGACCACGGACAACACAGCAGTGAAACATCGACTTGACAAAACTCCGACAATCAGTATGATGAACTGCGTGTAGTGTTCCCATGCTACCTTTGTGTCTAGTCCATCATATATAATCATTCCAATACATGATAATGTCTGGAAAAAATACAGATTATACATTTTATTATAAATATAATACTTCTTATATAAATCAAAGAGTCAAATTAATGAGTGAGATTACTATCATTCAATAATGGCTATTTCAAGAGCTATATATAAGTCTGATGGTTGGAATGGTTTAATGTCACAGCAACACTGTAAAAGTCATATAGTGATTTCCAGTTTAACTGGCAGAGGAAAACCTCAGGTGCCCTTCCATGCATTATTTCAGGATGAAGGGCACCTGATTAGAACCACCAACGTTCCATAAGCTAACTGAATAGCTTCCTCACAAGGTACCTGGCAGGATTCAAACCCACAGTGGTGAGGGGCAAGTGGTTTGAAGTCAAAAACCTTAACAACTTGGCCACAGACGCCCCATAAAATCAAAGTGTGTAACGTTACCCATCCCAGTGGAGATTAGTTTAAGATCAGATGATTGATGAGATAAATATTAAACTTTCTTCTTTACCTGCATGAATAGTGCAATACCCACAAATTTTGTTGAAGATCACATGGATAAAGCAATGAGATGAAAAGGCCAAACCAAACAGGCAAGATACATGGTGAAAATACTTGATAAAAGCCATTATCTCTTACCTGACAGAATACTAGACACAAAAGGAAGTGATGCGGCATCTTTTTATGTCGTCTGCTGAGACAAATCACGAAGAAAATCCAAACCTGTACGTAAAAGCAGTGACAAAGTTTAAACACAGTAATTCTAATCGTTACTCTAAAGAAAATAGTTCCTTCTTAAACCTACTCTGAAACAAGAGCTGTCTGTAGGACAGCACGCTCGACTATTCTAAGTGCTTGATAGTAAAAGAGCCTTTAATATTGTTTTAATTTTTTTAAGTCACAAAAGGGCTAATTTTTTTGTTATAAAATTCATGTTATAGGCCTTAGAGAGAGTCCTAATTATACAGTATTGGCTTGACTATTTGGAAGGTAAATGTCACAAGGGTGTTTATTGAGTATATATATAACTAATTACCTAATGAATTACATAAATTTGACAGAAAAGGTACAAAGGCTTGTTATTAAGATGTTTATCAAAGTAAAATCACTGCTTTATTATTATATGAATGCATAAATTGTCCAAAAAAAGGCACAAACCCTTCAGTAGTTATTGAGATAATCAGCTTACTAAGCAAAACTTTTTTTAGCGCATGAATTTCTAAGTTGAAAAAGGGGAGAAAAAATCAGCCTAAATTTAATGCAAGAATAGAATTATGGATTTTGTCAGTGACCCTATAAATGCTTATATGAAGTTTTTAAATTAATATCTTTAATAGTTAATTGAGATATGTAAAACTTGCATGTAAACATTAACCAAGAGACTAAGTAAGAAAAGGGGATATGAATCAGCTTAATGCAAGACCAGAGTTATTGGAACTTTGATTCAGTGGACGAAGGGAGCGTACATACAATTATGACCCTCCAAATTATGACCCTAAGTGCATGTGTAAAGTTTCAAGTAAATATCCTTTTTGAAGAACCTTTAAACAAAATTTCTAAGATTCAAAGGGGCAAATAATTCTGCCAAATATTGCAGGCAGAGCTTTATGCAATTTGCAAACTGATGTACATTGTTACTATATAAAAAGTATTTTAAATTTCAATGAATATCTCAAGCAATAATTGAGATATTTCACTTTTTACCAAAAAAACTTTAACCAAAACTTTTAAGTTACAAAGGGGCATAATTCTGTTCAATATTGTAGGCAGAAGTTATCCAACTTGTCAATCTGATGTACCTTGTTACTATAAATAAGTATTGTAAGTTTCAATTGAATATCTCAAGCAATAATTGAGAGATATTTGACTTTACACAAAAACTTTAAACCAAAATTTTCTAAGTTAAAAAAGGGGCATAAATTCTTGTCAATATTGTAGGCAGAGTTATCCAACTTGTCAAATCTAATGTACCTTGTTACTATATAATAAGTATTGTAAGTTTCAATTGAATATCTCAAGCAATAATTGAGATATTTGAACTTTACAAAAAACTTTAAAACCAAAATTTCTAAGTTAAAAAGGGGGCATAATTCTGTCAATATATTGTAGGCAGAGTTATCCAACTTGTCAATCTGATGTACTTGTTACTTATAATAAGTATTGTAAGTTTCAATTGAATATCTCAAGTAATAATTGAGATATTTGACTTTACAAAAAACTTTAACCAACGCAGACGCCGACGCGGACTCTGACGCCGACGCCGGGGCGACTACAATAGCTCTCATATTCTTCGAATAGTCGAGCTAAAAATAGTTCCATCTTAAACCTGATATAACCCCGCCCTTTTTTTCCTCCTATAAATGACCATTTAGAGGTGTTTTCCTACAAAAACATACTGTGTTACTTTCCCAAATTTTTAAGGATGGGCCCTTCCCTTTTTGAAGGGACCTTTCACTGTGAAACAAGCCCTGTTATAATTGACTTTTTTTAACCTGGAACTTTTGACATATTTAACATACAAGTATTTATAAATGTACTCATTAACCGGACAAATCCAACTGAAGGTAAAAGAAATGTATCTGCTCAAGTTTGTATGAGGTAAGACATCAATGAAACTACATGTAAATGCATTTATTTACTATTGGTACAGCAAAAATATGTCATTATTGTTTTTTAAGCATTCACCACTTTGGCAAGCTGTATGTAATATACAATTTTTAAACCAATGATCTAAAATAAAAAAAAACATATTTTAAAGGGACTGCACTGAGGTTTTTTGACATAACGGGGACTGGAAATGATTTTTTAATTCATTTTCAATTTGTTGAAGACCTTAACTTGTGTGCAAAATTTCAGATCCAGAATGTTTAAATGACCCAAAATTGAAAAGCGTTGCACAGCTTCAATCTATTTCTGAGTATATCTTAATTATCTGTTGCATATCTTCCTATTTTAAGGTGCCCCAGCTCATCTACGTAAGAAATTCCTCAGTAGAGTTCCTTTAACCCTCAGCCTGCTTAATTTATTATCAATTTATTATCAAATAATTATCAATTTATAATCAATTAAATATCAATTTACTATCAATTAAATATCAATTAAGAGGATATCACAATGAAAAATTTGACACTGATATCAGCCTACCGTATAGAACCTGGTCAGACTGCGGGAAGGGAATGAGTATAAAAAAAGAAGCCTCGTCAGACTTGTCTTAAATTTCTATAATGGTAGCAAAGGTTTAATCACTTTGGGTCCCAGAGGGATATAGGGATAAAACAACTTACATTGCACACAAGAGAAACAACACTGAGATCAAAGGATGTATCCACTAGCAACGCTTTGTAGTCCATCTCACTGTTTACTACAAACAGTTCATTCATCTAGTGATACAAACATTCAGAAGGTGCCTGACAGGAATGTACATGCTAATACCTTAGCTACCCACAAAAAATAAATTGCAAAAAATTTTAAGGCATGGTTCAAATTGTGAACTTATCTCATATTTTGGATTTTTCCATGTGTCAAATTTGAGCTGAAATTGGACTAATATATTTCTTAGATGACTGTTTTAATGGTGATTGACTAAAAGTTGATACTGAAGAATGTAAGGATAAGTTAAACCAGAGAGCCATTGATGGCCCTGAGGCAATCGCTCAACGTATATAGCCCCCCACAACCCCCCCGCCCCCACGTTGCAGGACAATTTAACCCAATGAGCTTTTTTTATTTGCACAAACTTGGTAGCCACCGCATGAAGAAGTGTTTTCATGCTAAAACATCTAAGCTCTAGCTCATTGGGCTTTTTAAAAGAAAGATTTTTTAAAAGTTTTTACTATCCACTATTAAAAAATAGTTTTTTTTTTTAAAAAAAAAACAAATGGAAACAAAAAAACCCCTTGGGGGGGGCCCCCCTCCCCCCGGGCCAGTTTGACGCCCAGGGCTTTTAATTCTGAACAAACTGTTGTAGACACTTACTAGACAGATGTTTTCTTGCTGTAATATTCTAAACTCTAGCTAATTTGGGTTTTTTCAAAGAAGATTTTTAAGTTTTTGCTATACACATATAAAGAAAATCAATTGACCCCCGGGGCGGGGCAATTTTGACCCAGGTCATTTATTTGAAAACTTTTGTAGACACTCACTAAAAGATGTTTTCATGCTTAAAATTCTTAACTCTAGCTATTTGGGTTTTTTCAAAAGAAATTTAAGTTTTTGCTATACACATGATAAGGAAAATCAATGACCCCCCCGGGGGCGATGCCGAATTTTTGACCCAGGGCTTTTATTTGAACAAATCTTGGTAGACACCCATTAGAACATGTTTTTATGCTAAATATCTTAGCTTCTAGCTCTTTGGGTTTCTTTAAAAAGAAGATTTTTTAAGTTTTTTACTATATGCATATAGGGAAAATCAATGACCCCCTGGGGCGGGGCCCATTTTGAACCCCAGGCTTTTATGATTTGAACAAACTTGGTAGAACACTTATTTAGAACATGTTTCAATGCTAAATATCTTAGCTCTAACTCTCTTTGGTTTCTTTAAAAGAAGATTTTTTAAGTTTTTACTATATGCATATCAGGGAAAAATCAATGACCCCCTGGGGCGGGGCCAATTTTGACCCCAGGGCTTTTATTTGAACAAACTTGGTAAGAAGCACCTATTAGAAACATGTTTGATGCTCAATATCTTAGCCATAGCTCTTTGAGTTCTTTAAAAAGAAGATTTTTTTAAGTTTTTACTATATGCATATAGGGAAAATCAATGACCCCGGGGCGGGGCCCCAATATTGACCCAGGGCTTGTTTATTTGAAACAAACTTGGTAGACACCCATTAGAACATGTTTTATGCTAAAATATTCTTAGCTCTAGCTCTTTTGGGTTCTTTAAAAGAAGATTTTTTAAGTTTTACCTATATGCATATAGGGAAAATCCAATGACCCCATGGGGGCGGGGTCCAATTTTGACCCCCAGGGCTTTTTATTTTGAACACAACTTGGTAGAACACTCACTAGAAGATGTTTCATGCCAAATATCTAAGCTCTAGCTCTTATGGTTTTTTAAAAGAAGATATTTAAAGTTTTTTCTTTCGGTTGCCATGGCAACCAGAGTTCTGCATGGAATTAAATTCTTTGAACACTTTTTAAAGCTGACCACCAAAGAAACATTCCTGTGAAGTTTGGATGAAATTGGCTTAGTGGTTTATGAGGAGATGTCATTTAAAGTAAAAGTTTACGGACAGACGATGGACGGACGGACGCCGGACGAAAAGTGATCACAAAAGCTCACCCTGTCACTTTGTGACAGGTGAGCTAAAAATCTGAATAAAATATAAAAAGAGACTGCTTCACTCTTTATATACATTGAAAACGTTACAGGTAAATTCTGATGGATATACATGTAAAATTTCCTTAGGCCAAGTGCGTCATTTAACGTTCAATTGAAGTAAGTTATAAAATTTAAAGAAATTATGGCAAAATGTGAACTGTTATTTTCACTTCACCTGTACACTCACTATAGAGTAATACCACTGGATGGGCATTATGTCACTCTAAAAGTTGGGTAATTTTTGCTGCTGTTGGTTTTATTTAGTTTCGTTTAAAGTCACACCAACAATGTAAAGGTCCTTTTTATATGGTGATTGTCAAGCTTTTTTGTTTGGTTGATTTCACGCTGTTTTTAAGACATTGTTTGGTCATATCTCTGAAGTCGGTCCACCCAATTGGCTTTCCGGGATAACTAACCAGTAATTACCAACTAGTAATTCTCTGCAAGTAACTTACTACTAATTCTACATGATTTCTGAAGCACCTATAAATGAAAAATGAGAAACTGAATGTCCTAGATCAACTGTCATGAAGAAATTTCGTCTCGTCTAAGGATCTAACCTGTGATCCCTTGATTGCTAATCTGATGCTCTTTCTATTCAGCTAAATGCTCAGATTGATAACTACATGTAACAAGAGGGCCATGATGGCCCTGAGGTCGCTCACCTGTATATAGCCCCCCCCTCCCCCCGGGCCAATTTTTACCCAAGGGCTTTTATTTGTTTATTTGAACAGACTTGGTAGACACCCATAAGAAGATGTTTCAATTGCTAAACATCTAAGTTCTAGCTCATTGGGTTTTTTAAAAGAAGATTTTTAAGTTTTTGCTATACACATATAAGGAAAATAAATGACCCCCGGGGCGGGGCCAGTTTTGACCCCAGGGCTTTTATTTGAACATACTTGGTAGATATTTACTTAAAGATGTTTCATGCTTAATATCTAAACTCTAGCTATTTGGGTTTTTTAAAGAAAAGATTTTTAAGTTTTCTGCTAATACACATATAAGGAAATAAAATGACCCCCGGGGCGGGGCCAGTTTTTGACGCCAGGGGCTTTTATTTGAACATACTTGTAGATACTCATTAGAAAACATGTTTCTATGCTAAATAATCTTAGCTCTAGGCTCTTTGGGTTCTTTAAAAAGAAGATTTTTTAAGTTTTTAACTATATTGCATATAAGTGAAAATCAATGACCCCCTGGGGCGGGGCCAATTTAGACCCCAGGGCTTTTATTTGAACAAACTTGGTAGACATTCACTAGAAGATGTTTCATGCCAAATATCTAAGCTCTAGCTCTTACAGTTCTTTAAAAGAAGATTTTTTAAGTTTTTACTATAATGCCATATAGGGAAAAATCTATGACCCCCTGGGGCGGGGCCAATTTTGACCCCAGGGCTTTTATTTGAACAAACTTGGTAGACACCTCATTAGAACCATGTTTGATGCTCAATATCTTAGCCATAGCTCTTTTTGAGTTCTTTAAAGAAGATTTTTTAAGTTTTACTATATGCATATAGGGAAAATCAATGACCTCCTGGGGCGGGGCCAATTTTGACCCCAGGGCTTTTATTTGAACAAACTTGGTAGACACTCATTAGAAGATGTTTAATGCCAAATATCTAAGCTCTAGCTCTTAGGGTTGTTTAAAAGAAGATATTTAAAGATTTTTCTTTCGGTTGCCATGGCAACCAGAGTTCTGCATGGAATTAAATTCTTTGAACAATTTTTAAAGGTGACCACCAAAGGAACATTCCTGTGAAGTTTGGATGAAATTGGCTCAGTGGTTTATGAGGAGATGTCATTTAAAGCAAAAGTTTACGGACGACGGACGGACGACGGACGGACGGACGGACGCCGGACGAAAAGCGATCACAAAAGCTCACCCTGTCACTTTGTGACAGGTGAGCTAACAAGTATAAAAGTATTCAACATTACTATGCTAGACTACTTAGGTAAAAGAGGAGTGATTCAGTCAGTTATTGAATTGTTCAGCAAATTATACCTTTTAACCATGAAAGTCACAAATTCTTACGTAACATAATCATAAAACTGTACTCACAATGTCCTGAGCCACAGAGAAATGACTAGCGTAAAGGAACACAGAGGGCGCTGTTGGAAACGTCCCATACAGGAAGCCATACATACTGAGAGATTTCGAGTTATTCATCTGGTTCATTTCCAGGGCACCAACAACTTGCCACGTAATACATGGAAGTAAAAGTCTGAAATATAAAAATAGTTAATTAATCAACATGCATCAACAATGCTTTAGATTCAATACTATATTAATCCTATATGTTTAAGTTTGTGAATACTGGTAGTGGTAATTCAAGCGTTTATCATAAATGAGCTAAAAAACTGAATTAAGGATTCATATAAGAATAATTTACCTTTTTTAAGTTACCATTGAAATATAAATAAATTTTAATACCTTTGCTATGTTGAATTGAGCTAATCTATCTTACCTTACAATGTTTTCAATTACTAGTTTGTACTATTTTCCTGGCTGGCAAAATCAGATTTTGCTTAACTAGTCTGTATTCTTTACTAGTCCATATAATATAAATAAAACAAAATCTGAAAAAAGTTTACTTGTCTGTACAGGCTGTTGGACAACCTGAGCAAAACAAACAATTCATTTTGCCACCATCTGATTTTATACAGATTTTATACAGAAGTGCAAATGCATAAAAATAACAGCCAAGCTACAGATCATTTTTAACCGACCATTATCTATCATAATATGGTATCATTATAAAGTAAATGTTCAACAGAAATTCTTACGTTTTGGCTCCTATCAGAAGCATTGGGCCAATGAGATTGACTCCCAGTTGACCTTGAACTTTACCCACTAGGCTCAACCCAAGATAAAACAAAGCTGTGGCACTGTATGCATTTCCTGAAAATTTATAAAACAGTATTATCATTATCCTGACCTCCATTGTTGCACAGGGCTTCCATTCAGTTTAAAAATTTGGAAGCCAGAGACTGCAAAATGTCTAACATAGGAAGTCACTTTATATAAGTAAAGAAGGAAAAGTATTAGATTTTGGAAGTCAAAAGCCAAAATCAAGGAGTAAATGACTCCCAAACTTCAAGTAACGGAAGCCCTGGTTGCATATAAATGGTTTTTCGCTTTTGCAAAACCCGCGTGTCCCCGCGGATGTGACTCATCGCGGACGAAAATTTGCTCAAATATTGTCCGCGTGACCCAGCGGACAGAAAATTTTCACCACCGCGGACATAAATCTACAGCCGTAAGCGTTTCCCCCGCGGAACACTGTGGTTAATTGCGGGGGGAACGCAGTGGTCAATCTCCGTGGACCGCGATGGTAGTCATCGTGAAAACGAATGAATTTTACAAGTATTTTATGGAACTTGTAAACTTTATGAAAAACATGTAATAGTACAGTTAAGAATTTATATTAGAGTCTGCTAAAATAATTTATTTGCATTTATTTTCCATTTCAGAATGTTTTTGAATGTCAATTTCAGAAGTTGCAACAGCTAGCGTCCGGGGCCGTACCGCTAGTCAAAAGTTATTGCAACCTGTATTTTTTCCCTGACCCCGATTATTTAAGTTAACGTAATAATGCATTTATTTCCGTGTGAATAGACATATTTTTTTAAATGACAAGCTGTACGGGCCCATTTTGCTACCAAAAAAAGTTTTTTCACCAGGTATTTTCCGTATTTTTCCAGTAAATCCGATCCTTCAATCAGTTACAGGTGCAAACATTTTTTTATACAAATGAGTATCCCTATTTACCGACAAGAACCGTCAAGGACCGACAATAACCCATGTGTTGTTAATAAACATGTACTCGTACATATTTAATACATGCAAGGCTTATTCATTTTCTTTTAATCTGAGTCTTTGTTTTTTGTTTCTTTTTTTTTTATATATAGAAAATTAAAAATATGGTGACCGACAAGAAAAAAAATCTGATGCAACGCGTGTTACATTCGGAGATTGGCAAGTAAAAATTTTAACTCTATTCTAATATTTCATCGTAGATTGTAAAAATTTGGGGTGCTGTTATTTTTGTTGCAAGACATGAAATAAACATGGGGATGTAGTAAGAAATGTACTATTAAAATTCAGAACTGTGTCAAACATTGTAAAATTGAGGGAACACTGTTTTTTTTGTAGAAAGATGTGTTTTCCGTTGACTAAAACATTCGGAGATTGGCGAGTAAAATTTCCACTCTCTATTCCAATATTTCATCGTAGATTGTAAAAATTTTGGGTGCTGTTATTTTTGTTGCAAGACATGAAATAAACATGGGGATGTAGTAAGAAATGTACCGTTAAAATTAGAACTGTACCATAACCAAAGAAATATCTTTTATATCAAAGAAAAGGCATCCTCAGTAACCCAGGCCGTATACCGGTATCGGTATTAAAAAGCAGTATTTACGGATAGTGTACCGTGGATTCTGGCGATGAGAAAATAAACAATTAAAATTATTTTAAAAATGCAAGGACTGCGTATAAATTACTTATTCTTCATGTTAAAATAAAAGCATATCCACGGTCATAGACTTATGTAAGTTTTTTTTGTTTGTTTACTTTTTTCTTTTCTTAGATTTACTTATTCTGACCCCCGCGTTACCCCGCAAAACACGGATGACTGATTTTAACGATAATATGACTGCAATCGTCGGATTTTGGTCCGCGGTGGAAACAACTAGACCCTGTGGATTGCGGGGGAAATTATTGTTTTTATCGCCGACCTCCACCGCGTTTGTCCGCGGTAGAAAAAAATCGTCCGCGGTGGTATCGCGGAAAAGGCAAAAGCCGCGGTGAGCGTACTGTATCAGCAATACAATTTTAGAAGTATTTAAACAGAGCAAAAAAAATTCAACCATCAAAGTACACAAAATTATTTCCATAATTTCTTCTTGTTTAAACAGATTATCTTTTTACTCCCTTACTTAATAATAAAGACATAAAACATCTAATTGATCCTTACCAAATTTTGAGAAGTAATATATTGAAAATTAAAAAAAAAATCATGAACAGTAATATTACCTAGAACTTCAAGAATGTCTCCAATCACTGTGGGCACGTTCTGTTTGAACAGGAAGTTGCCTGCTATCCCGATAAGCACCATGAAGACAATAGGATTGGACAATACATCTTTGGTCACATGTAGTACCAGGTGACATTTTCCGCTGCGCTGCGACACATCAGCATTACGTCGGTGAATCTCCAACATGGTGAATCCAACCGGATTTAGGAAAAGCAAGGAGATTGGTGCAATAAGATAGATATATTGCAAATATTCCGGGTTGCTCTCCGAATACAAAGCTTTCACTGCAAAAATACACATAAAATAGTCTCTTCTACCATAAAATTGTTATATCCTTACACACATTTGTCATTTTCTTTCATAAAATTGTAATGTTCTTCATAATATAAAGCTGTCATGTTCTTTATACATAAAATTGTCATATTCTTAAACAAAATAGACATGTTTTTTTTTATAAAAGTAACAGTGTAATAAAATACTAAATCAAAGACCAGTAGGCAATCTTTAGTAACTGTGTTAAAAAATCAAAATTTCAAAAGTCAAATATCAAAATTATTATGTTAAATAAAATCAACATAACATAGCATGCCAATTATTTGGAAATCTCAATTTAAAGCAACAGGATAGTGTAATTTGAATAATATTATTTATGTCTTTAAGAATCTTATATACTGAACCAAAAAAGAAACTTTCCCAAAGTATGTGCCAGTTGTTCAAGGGTACTACTTAGATGTACACACTTATATACATGTAGTAGCTTGTAAAACTCGTTTTGTTTGCAAAATTAGTCAGCTAATCCCCGTATAAAAGCCCGATATGTTTATTCAACGTAAAAATCGAGTTTCAAAAGGATTGAAAAACTGTACTAACATATCTACATTCAAACTTGGAGAAAGTTTCTTTTTTGTTTCAGTATACACGTTATATCTATTTCAAGGATTTGTTGTTTGTTTGATTGGGTTTTACGTCACACTAACACAGTTATGGTCATTTGGTGACGTTCTAGCTTTACTGGTGGAGGAAGAACTCAAGTGCCCTTCCGTGCATTATTTCAGGCATGAACTTAGTAGAACCACCTACGTTCCGTAAGCTAGCTGGATAGCTTCCTCACTATTTCAAGGAAAAAATTAAGTAAAATTGAATAATAAAATATATAAATGATAATATATATCATATGTAGGACTTACAAATAGGATACCCAAGTGCAAAATCATTGCTCTGAGTGGCAAATATAGCAAACATTCCAGCATATCCTAAGTGCATCGGTCTACGTATAAGCAAAGTCAATACCACCACTATTAAAAACACGCCTGTTTTTGAGATTGCTATTCCTAGTAAAAAGTACCAATTCACTTGATCGAAGTTTAGCTCAACCATGCTTTTGAACAACAAGGCTGGCAAACAAAATTTACCAACAAACGTCCCTATGCCTTGACCCTGAGACTGAGTGATCAGGTCAGCCCTCCCGGCAATATAACCAGCAAGAATAATAGTGAAGCACTGAAATATGGCTGGATAAAGGTTATCTATAGATAGTGTCCCTGAATGGGTGACTGTGCTGTTTGTTATATTGGTTTCCATGGTTGCTACTAGAGTGTTGCTAAGCAACGCGGTTGAGTTCGCCATGTTCAGCTGGTTGATGGAAGGTTCCTACAATGTATTTTGTCTTTATCCTGAAAAAGAGTACATACATTACATAAAATATACTGAATATAAATATATAAAACCTTATTGATAACTCTAATGTCAGACTCAGTGATAACTAAGCTTGAACGTTAATTTTAGGACAAAAGATAACAGAAGTACACAAATAGCCCTGATATTTGGTTCACCTAATCTGTCTTATATTTTGCTCCAGACATTGAACAACCAAGCACATGTTTATAGGGACTCATGCTGACAGGGGCTAATGAGCCAATTTGCTTCAAAATAATTAATTGGCTCGAGAAAATCTCAATTGGCCCAAACTTACAAAAAATATGCCTTCAGAATCTCAAGTCTACGGTAATTTTTTATCCCGTTATTTTAAGAATGGGAATAAGTGGTAATGGTAATGGATAATATAATCAACTAGTCTCTGTTCACATTTATAAATATTGTTAAGGTATGGTTGCGTCAACCATGTTACAAAATTGTTGTATGTATACTACAGTCAGTGTACATGGTTCCTCACACTTTCCCATTTTTCATTTTTTTCTTGAAAATTCAAATGAATATACTCAGTTTTCATTTGTGTTTCACTGAACTTGCATGTTTTTACAGGATATGACATCATCTCAGATCTTGCAACCCAGCCTCTCTTTGGAGAGTGCAGACGAAAATGTAAATAAATGTATGTAGCTGTGTATGTCACACAAAAAAGAACATCTTATTCAGCAAGTAAACCATGCTAATTTATATTTTAATGTTAAGATTATTATGAAAGATATATTTGAAAAGAAATATATGTTTTGCATGTTTTTGTTATCGCAAATTTGCTGTTAGTTATGAAATATATGCACATGAATTAACTTCTCCCAACTACCAAACGTCAAGTCATTTCACCTTGATTCTTATTTTAAAATAATACCAAACTCTTAATTGAGCAAATCATAACTAAATAGAAGTTAGATGAAAAAAAAAAACTTTCAATTAATGTTTTATGTCATTGTTTACAATCTACAAATGGTAAAAAAGTTTGTTTCCATTGCTGTTTAATGTTTTCTGTGTGCTGCTACATGTATGCTTGGAAATAAATGTTTGTAGATTGTAGTAAGAATTTGTGTTAAATTAATTTGAAGTCCTGAAAATTTGCAAAAAATCTATCTTATCTGGACTTAACCATTTAAAATAATTTTCAAACATGTTTAAGATGTAACACAACCTTTCAGTATAAAAATGGCCTTGTGTGCGGAGCCGGGCCCACTTTTTATTATGTTCAGACCATTCCTGTTGCTTAAAATCTAGCACGCCAAGAAGTATGACCTACTTAAGATAGAAACGTTTTGGTCATCAGTTTTGATTGGCAAAGGATGTAATTTTCAAAATAGTATCAATTATAAGAAGAATTTTGAACTATAAAATATTTTTCTTATTTTTCCTTTACACAGGCGCGTTCAACAACGTGAGTGCTCGATTAACCGATTAGCAGGCAAACAAAATTGCAATTGAACGCAATCGAGCGCTCTTTCGCAAACCAATATGGCGTCCGTTGATAAAGATCTTAGAAAAATAATTTTAAATGTTGTAATAGACGAGTTGTCTGACACTCCAGAAGTTATTTATAAATGAGGATTCAGTGATGGAATATTTAGCTGTTAACAGAAAAAGAAGACCCGAGTTGTTAGGTACCAGCAGAATTAAAAATTATGTGGATCAAACTGTCCCAACATACAGCGATCCATTGTTTAGGGCACATTTCTGTATGACACGGGAGTCAGTGCAGGTAAATAAAATGCAAAATCAACTTTTAATTGAAAAAAAATATTTATGTAGGTTTTTTCACACAAGCGAATCCGCTTTTTCAGTCCAATTTTTGCTTTTTTTTCCCCATTTACTTGTTCAGTGTTGTCCAAAATTCCATCCATCATCATCATTTTTACTTGTACACAAAATACTGCATGTACTTCCATTTTTATGTTCAGGTCAATTTAGGAGTGTAAATTGCTTTGCATTTACAAGATATATTTTGGGCCCGAGGCCTTAAAACAAAAATAAAGATATTTGAATATTGAACCTAAAGCTTAAAGTTATAAAGCATACAGTTTGGGCAATTAAAAGACTAAAGTTGGGAGTGCAAATAAATATCCCGGTGTAACCTAAATTCGGCGATATAAGAACAAATGTCAATGGCATTTTTAATAAACTACAGTAATCTATAATTATACTTGATATAATTTTACTACAAATATTTAAAAGTTACTTTAAGTTCATTTCTAACAATGTAATCGTTCAGCGGTTGCCAAATATAAACAAATATGGCTGATGTAAAATCTTACTACGATCTGAAAACGTCACCTAAATTCGGCGATTCTGATTGGTTGCAGTAATTTTTTTATTTTGGCGGGATTGTGACGTAGTATGTTGACCTAGATTGACAGTTAAAATAGTTAGTTTAATATTAGATAAAAAAACGGCGACTGTCAAATTATTTTAAGCAACAATATCAATCAAATAGAGGAAAGTATAGATAAACTTGAAATTGCATCAGGTAAAACACACAATTTTCTCCATGTCATATACAATTTTTAATGTTTACCAGACGTATCTCCATCTTTAGCGCAGAAAATCACTGGAGTTGTAAAAATAGACCGTGGGACATAAACATGATTGACCTTCACCTCTGAAATCTCGCGTGAATGATGAAAAACAAAACATCGCCGAATTTAGGAGAACGCCGAATTTGGGTCACGGTAGGATACTTAATTTTTGTCGCGAATTTTCATTACAAATTCAATAATTGAAGAATAATAATGTAATTCGGTTTTTATTGTTCAAGTAAATATACGAAATATGAAAACATACGTTATACTTACAAAAACTATTCCATATTTCGTGTTGTTCTATAGAAGAATGTATTTAAAATAACAAAATATGTCCTAAAAAAAATGTTGTTGTTGTTGTTGTTGTTGTCGCCGTCAAGTGCGTTTAAATCGCTTTATCGTGGAAATCACGTTCATCCGTTCATTATTTAGGTTTCAAACGACTAAATATTTAATTTTCTCCAGAATCAGAGGTTAAGAGAAAAATATGTCAAAAATTCATATTTCAACATCTATATTATTAAAGATCTATATTATTATAGATGTTGAAATATGAATTTTTTTCAAAACGGCTTTTATTAAGTTTTTTTGATATATATGATCAGTACATGTGCTGGGATTGACAAATATGCATTTTATTTGGATTTTAAAGGCGTTTGAGCTCCAAACCCCAAGTGTCTGTGGCCCAAACCAATGTTATGTCTGGTCATTTGTTATTCCGTTTCTTTTCATTCAAGATATAGCCTAAGTTTAAGATGTATTTCTTAAAAATGTGCGTGCGTGTCGAAAATCGATTGAGCAAAATGATGTCCTAGTACTGTGTGTGCCCATCCTGACTGTGTATTACAGCCTGACAGCGTCGTGGCATCGATGTTACATACCGTTGTAGATAATTTTGGGGTCGGCGAGGAAAGTCATCAACCCGCCATATGCTCTGCACTTAATGTTTAGCCCTCTTATGGTAATGCGATGTACACCTATGCGTTGCACAGACTACAAATAATACAGACATGTAATTAGTAAATACAAATATGCATTTATGTTCGTCTTTGGTAGAAACTGACTTTAAATGATTTTCGGCTTTTACAATGCAAAGGAATTAAAAGAATTATTAAACAAATAAATTTTGTTACCAACCTCTTTTTGGTGTACTCCAGCGTTGACCAAACGTAGGGCTATGCCACGCTATTGTATAAATAATCTACACATGTTATGTTTTTCTGATATGTGGATCTCTGTCTCATCCGGGAATATCATGTGCAATCGTTTTTCACCTATTTACACAATTTGTTCGAGCATTGTGTGAATTTCGTGCGTTCATGGTTGAACGCGCCGTATAATTAAAATTGACAAGTTTGAGCACGGGAAAAGTGTGGAAATGCAGCCAATAGTCAGAACACAAAATTTTGTAAAAATAAATATTGACAAACGAAAAAGTAATAAGGACATAAAAGGTGCACACTTATAAGATTTGTTAAGTGTACTTAATAAAAATTCAAAACCCGACATTTGCGTTTCAGTAGTCTTATGGGAATTAGTCACCAATTATTCAAAGCAAATCCCGCCAGGAAAGGTTTTTGTGTTGTTGCTTTAATTTATTTTGTTACGGATTTTTGGAGAATAGACAGTGCCCCCATCAAGGGCCGCTAAACTCGTTGAAAAAACAGGTCCAATATATGGGAAACTACAAAAATGGAGGAAATTAAACGAACAGTAAATAGAATAATAATACTTATATATTTAAAGTGTCAGTCTGGGAACTAAATTAAAAAAAAGGGCAAATGGTTTAAAAAAATGAGAAAAAAGTCTGCACAAATACACTTCTAACATAAAAGGGAATAATAAAAACGAAATTATAATACAAAAGAATGAATAGAATTTCTACAACTAAAAAAAACAGAGGCATAACATAATATAAAAAAATAAGAGAGGTAATCTCAGAACTAAAGAAAATCAAAAAAAAAAAATATTGAGATGTGATCAACGAAAGCTTTAGGAAACGAAAAGGGAGGGGCAATTGAGAATTGTAATTAATTGATTAAAACTGTTTTCAAAATCTGCAACATTAAACTTTGTATATAGAATGCCCCTCAAAGTTTTTCTAGGAAATACCAGCCTCTCAGAAATTTCAAATTTCAATTCAGAAGATATGTAAACACGTTTGAAATAGGAGTACCTAAGAATATTTGTTAGATGTATGTTGCTTGACATTTTCCTTATTATACCTAGATTAAAAAAGTTATGATGTTCTGTGATGAGGCCGGTCCATAAGAACGTACATCCGTTCGCACGTACTTGCCTGATCAATAACTTAATAAGTTGAGAAGGAATAAGTCATGATTTATGTAAATTGGTAGGGACATTGCCCATGGCTAATAGATCAACTCAATTGTTTTTAGGTCATAAGGTCAAAAGTCAAGATGACATTGACTACTCAAAGTTTGTTGGAACTCTTTTGCCAAAATCCATAAGAATGGGTTGGAGGTTGGTCACGGCTCGTAGTTATTAAGGACATTAGGTCAAAGGTCAATGTCACCGTGACCTTCGCAGCTAAAAGCTTGTCCAACGTATAACAAGAAAGCACTTTTTATACAGTCCTAAGATTTGATGTGGAAGTTGATCATTACTAGGTGAGTATATATTGGTCATAACTAGTATATGACCCGTAATGATTAAAGGTCATAGGGTGAAAGGTCAAAGTCATAGTCGCAATGCAAAATACTTATGCAATCAATCACGTGAGAAGGTTTATGTCAATTTTTGTACATTAAAATGGACATTGTACATGTGCAGAGGATTCCCACTTTTGCATTTTTAGGTCCTTTGGCCAAAAGTCAAGGTCACAGTGACAATTAATGTAAATTCTTCGCCTCACCAATAACTTTTTTCAAATCAAATCAAATCAACATTTATTTATTGTCGGTATATATATATAACATTTTACAAAACATAAGCTATGTATAGCTTTTGACCGACATACATGCATAATGATATAAACATAAAACTCATAAAAGAAGCACATTAAGATAAACTTTGAAAGACAAATGGTAAAAGACAAGTTAAATTACTATAATATGGGATGTAGACACTAAATGTTATAATTTAAAATAAAATAATAATAATTAATAAATAGTAATGCTATGCTAAGGATAGGCTTAAAAGTTCTTTACTGTATCATAAGTGAATAAAATAATATATATCTAGATAAAATGCGGAACATATTAGCACATACATAAAATAAAATTACATTAAAAGTGGGTGGATATTGCTGATATTGACCCAGGCCTAGACTGGACTGCTATAAAAGAAAGGAAATACAATATTGAAAACAAGTAAAATGGTTTCCTGCGGTGAACATTTTAATGATATAAAGATATTTCATTTAACTATTTCAACATTAGTTGGGGGGGGGGGGGGGCGGGGTGATAAATAAACGTTTGTAACAGGAATATAGTTGACAATAATCGAACAATATAGAAGAAGGTCTTTGGAAACTGCATGTGACCGTTGAAGACCGGAGATGATCGAACATAAAACAATTATTTCTTTTCAAGAAATGATTAAATAGGCCTACCATTTTATGAATAATTCCGAGCAAAAAATAAATAAAGTAAACACACAAGTTTACGCAGAAAATATCTCTAATTATTAACATGATTAAGGCAGATGCCACTACGAATATTTTAATTTTGTAGATTTTCAGTATAAACAATTTATTGTTTGTAAAATTTGAGATAGATATTAAAGAAACATTGATAATTTTCAAACACATCATTCAAGTTTTTCCACCTTAAACGGTAAAATAATAATAGAAAATTAGAAATATCACGTAATAGATTTTTGTTCTCAATTAGGTGTAATTCGGACTAATTCCCTACAGGTAAATCCGTAACGTACCGGCAAACGGTATTTAGCTGGGTTTTCGAAAAGGTCAATTAACCAATCGTATACGGTTTACAGATCACATGCTCCTCCATGTACCGAAAACAGGTCACGTGCTCCTCCATGCCTCAAAAGTTAAACGCGTACCAATACCCTGCGGTCTCCAGACCGCAGGGAATGAAAAGGATCACAAAACTGTTACCACTAATTAGGTTTTATACATAAAGATCCCCAATTCAAAATTTGCAAGAAGTGATCAGCAGCCTCCTCAATAAGCAAACTTCGCAAAAAGCTGACAATAAGCAAACAAAAATTCAAGCATATTGGAAAAATAATACATGTACATAATCATTTATGTTGAGAATATTAACAAAATTTAATCCAAATGTGAAATAAACAGATACATGTAAGTAAGCAGCAAAACAAAAGAAAGCAGGCAAGAAACAAAACTGAAGATGGAGCTAAACTATAATGCAGGTTTATTGACAGAAAGTACATGAGCAACTCTCTCCATTCCATGCACCAATTAAACTTTTAAATTGGTCATAATTCACTTCCATTCTGAGGTGTTGAGGAAGTGAATTCCATAGTTTAGGTGCATAGGAACGAAAAGAGTTGCTGCCATAACTGGTGGTTCTTACCTGAGGGATAATGGCTACATTTTTATACCTAAAATTAAAAGAATGAGATTTTATATTAACAAGATCATGTAAGTATGTTGGTCCTTGTTTATGAATAATTTTATGAATTTCGAGGGCTATAGTTCTGATTCGTCTTAATTTTAAATTTGGTAGTTTAGATTTTATTAAAAGTGAGTCATAGTCTGATTGATAGTCATCATAAATGAATCTTAATGCTCTTTCTTGAATTTTCTCTAGTTTTTTTGTGTACTTTTCTCCACAGAAGTGCCAGGTGACAGGGCAGTAATTAAAGTTTGACAGTATAAAAGAGTAATATATGTTCAATTTCCCCAATTTACATAAATTTTTACCTATTCTCTTTAGCACGTTTAGTTGTTTTTGAGGCTTTTTTACAGATATCAGAAATATGATTATCAAATTTGAGTTTAAAATCAAAAGTTACCCTAGAAGTTTAAACAGATTCATCACATTGGATTGTACTATCATTTAAATTGAAACTAATATTTTGATCCCTAGTTTTTTTACCAATAGCAATAGCCTGGAATTTGTCGGGGTTTGCTTTCATATGATTGTCCGAAAACCATTGTATTAATGACTGACTATCTGACTCTAAAGATTCAACAACATTGTCAATGTTTGTGTCACTGCACGATAAAGTGTTGTCATCTGCATAATTATAAAGATCACATTTGTGTACAAAATCAAAAATGTCATTTAAAAATATGTTAAATAATACAGGGCCTAGAATAGAACCTTGAGGAACCCCTTTATAAATATCTTTGAAAGAACTTAAATTTGATCCAAGTTTGACGCACTGTTTCCTATTTGTTAAATAATTTGTTAATAAATCTA